CCATGTCCACCTCCTCGCCTCCTTCTCACGTCGCCTTGCCTCCCACCTCCTCCTGCTGACCCTCATCATCACCCTCATCATCCTCACCCTCCCCATCAGATGCCGCATTGCCCTTACCTTCCTCATACTCATCCTCCTCACCTTCCTCGTGATCCTCCCCATCCTCCTCGTATTCGTCCTCATGCTGTTGCGTTTGCATGTGCATGTCATTATCTTCCTCATCATTCGCATCCTCCTCCTCATCTCCCTCCTCATCTCCCTCCTCATCTCCCTCGTCATCCTGTTGCCTGCCGTTGCGCCTGCACGTGCACGTCGTCATCCCGATCGTCTTCCTTCGCCCCTTCCTACTCCTACTCCGCCCCCCCCCATTCCCCCGCCGCGAATCACTCCCCACTCCACTAGGCGATGGGAGGAGAGGGCAGGGGACGATGAGGAGGACGATGAGGACGTGGAGGAGGATGATCATGAAGATGAGGAGGATGGGGAGGATGGAGGATGAGAAGGATGATGAAGATGAGGAAGACGAGGACGAGGGGGATGAGAACGAGGGGGACAGGACAGGGGGCAGGGGAAAGAGGGGGAGACAGTTAGAAGGGGAGGGGATGAGGGAGGGCAGGAGGCAGGAGGAGGGACGATGGGCTCAAGGAGGAGGGGGGAAGGAAGAGGAGGAGATGGACGAGTAGGAGGAGGAGAAGGAGGCAGCGGAGGTCCTGTACCCGACTGGCGGGAGCGGCCAGCCGCCGGCGGGCGCGGCGGCGGCGGGCGCGGCGGCAGCTGCCGCGGGCGCGGCTGCCGCGGGCGCGGCTGCCGCGGGCGCGGCTGCCGCGGCCGCCGCGGCGCCCCCCTCGCCGCCCTGGGCCCCAGCGCTCATAGGGTGAGGGCCCTGGCGGAAGAGCTGCTTGCGTGGCACTGCGGGTTCGGGATTCCGAGGTTCCCAAAGATGGCCCCCCCGAAGCGCATGCGCCGCCAGGGCGGTCGCAGCGACTCGATCGATCGACGTCGCTGCGACTGCTCTGGCGGCCACCGCGGGGGCCCACCATTGGGATTCCCAGAATCCCGAACCTGCTGGGGCCGGAGCGGCGAGGGGGGCCTGAACCTCAAAAGGCTGCCGTCCACTCCTCTCGCTCGCACTCCCACCCTGCCGCCCACTCCTCCCCCCCCCGCCTCTTGCCCTCCCTCCCTTGTTCCCGCTTTCCTCCCGCCCTCCCGCCCCCCTTGCCCCCGCCTGCCCTTCCCGCCCTCTCCTTTCTCCGCCTCCCCCTATACTCGCTTCTTCCGCTTTCTCCGTCCACGGCCTCCCCTCTCCCCCGCGCTCGACTCGTCTGCCTCAGCCTCCTGCCTCTTACTTTCCTCCGCCCTCCCCCACCCCCTTCCCCCCCTCCCCTCCTCCCCCCCCCCCTCCCTCCCCCGCGGCGCGGCGGGGCCGGGCGCGGTAGTCCTCGCGGCCCCGCGGCCCGCGGCGCGGCGGCGGCGCCGCGATCGCGGCGCGGCGCTGCGCTCCGAAACCCCGCCCCCCGCCGCATTCCAATGGCCCCCGTGCCCCCCGAGCCCAAGGAAAACAGAGCCAAAGGATCCAGAGCCCAAGGAAAACATAACATCAACACTCAACACATGTTATGTTTTCCTTGGGCTCTAATTCACAGCCCAAGGAAAACATAACATCAGGGGGTATGGGGGCTATGGGAGCGCGGCCACTGGGCCGCCCTGGGCCACAAGCCTCGGCGGGCGAGAAGGGGGGGCGCGCGAAAAGGGGAGGGAGGGCGAGCGCGCGAACGAGAGAGGCGAGCGCGAGGGGGGGGAGAGGGCGAGCGTTCCCCAGCGGAAGGGGAGGGAAAAGAAGCCTTGGAGCTGGAGGGGCGGAGGTGAGAGGTGAGCGCCCCTGGAGGTTAGGGAGAAGCTGGAGGGAGGGCGGGGGGAGGGGCGAATAGCGGGTCCAGGAGGGCGGAGGAGGGCGGAGGAGGAGGGTCAGAGGGCTGACTTTCATGAAGATTGGCGACTCTTGGGGGAGCAAACACAACTTCATCACGCGAGAGATGGTCAAAGCGACGAGGGCAGGTACCAGGACAGCACAGAGACTCGCGGCGCTGGTGGCGATAACGGCGGCTACGACGACAAAAGCGGAGGAGACCTGCCCAAGCCTGGACATCAACGAGACGCAGTGGATCTACGTGACCGTGCTCACGATGTTGCTGGTTGTGATGGTGCTGGTTTTCGGCTGTTGTTTGTGTGTGACGTGCTACATCAAACGGGCGAACGAGCGATTCTGGAAAACAAAGAACGAGGAGATGAAACGCTGTTTGAGAGACACGCCAGACTCACGCGGAGACGACAACGCCGAGTACATGCAGATGAAGACGAAGATGAGTGAACAAGCCGATGAGATCGAGCGCTTAAAAGAGAAGAACGAAGGGCAACGGAGTAAGATTGAAGAGAGAGCCAAGCAGATAGTCGACATGCAGCCAGACATGGAGAAGCTGATGACGGATTTCGAGCAGCGCGGCAAGAGCTTAGCGGCATACGAGGAGAAGTTGACCAAGACCGAGAAGCTACTGAAGGACGCCAACGAGGAGCTTGGACTGTGCTATAAGAGGCTGTCGACGCTGAACGGTTCGAACGACAAGTTGGAGCGGCAGTTGAATAACGCGAAGAACGAGCTACGGCAGATGACGCTGAGAGCTCGAGACGTGCCGGAGCCCAAGCGGATGAGGTCGGCGAACACTCAGTCACAGTGTACGTATCGACGAGATCTAGCCACGCCGAGGTTTCAGGTGATACAGTCGATGCACGAGCCGACGGTGACCACGACGGACGAGTTTACAGCAGGTTCCCCATCGGCGAGCTCGAGCGGTTCATGAACGGCGTGGTGATGGTCATCGTATGTGGGACCTACGATATTCAGGAGACCAGGGCACATCTCTCGACTCTGTAGTTGAAACGGTGCAGGTTTTCTGATTTTTCTTGAGTTGATTTAGGTATGGCAGCGCGTGTGTGATGTAGTTTACTGAGGAATCGGGGCTTAAAAGCTCCTTTTCTTTCCCCTGTGTCAATGGCACAGATTCTGTTCCAATGTAGTAGCTATGCATGATGTAATGATTGCTAGCATGCACGTGTGTGTGTTGCTTGCTTGCTTGCGGTACATACTTGCGTGTAGGTGTGTGCGCGCCCGCTGCCTGTTTCGACTCAAACTGATTCGTAGGGGCCCCTGAGCTGATATTAACTACGAGCGGATCTTATCGATCGCAATCTATTCATTTTCATGTTCGGTTTGGAACTTCGTGTGTTCAGACTTCGGTGGTTCTGTTGAGTGCTACCGACACTCGTGATGCTGGCACCAATGCTGCAGTTTCTCCTGGGCCCATTTCCTTTCCTCCCCTCCTCCCCGTTTCATCCCCCGGCCCCGTCGCCACCTCTTTTTCTCGCACCCTTTCCCTCCCATCGCGCATCATCCCCAAACGCCCGCACCTTTGCCCTGCCAAACCACGGCCCCCTACGTGACCAGCACGTCGACGTCGACGTCACCGCCGCCGGCGTCGTCGTCGCCGTCCCCCTAATACACCAACTACTCAGTCGAGCCTTATACACGCACTTGAAGGTGTACTATATTGAACATGGGATTGAAGAGTTACCTGGTGAACCGCACATATACTGTCAGCCTACTCTTGATGGCGGCACGAAGTACTACAGATCGAGATACCCAACCCGCCGGGAGAAGCTACCAAGGACGACTACTACAAATATGGCTCTCTGTCGCCCCCAGTGGCACCGCAGAACAAGCGCGGGCCTACGGACCACATCCACGGAGATACGAAGCGTCCCCATGGCAATAACAAATAACGGGCCCTGAACTATGACAAGGATTACCCCGGGTACAACCACCAAGACTTTCTCTTCAGGATGATATGGAGGATACTGCGTCAGATCGCTTGCAGCGCTGCAACAATTGTATGATATGTACTTTGCTTCCATACGTCGCCTACTGCGCTACGGATAAGGTGCGCCGCGTAGAACGTCACACGCAATGCACTGCATCGTCAGTAAGCATAGCATCCGCTACTGAGTGGCCCCGCCGCTCAGCCCATTCATTCCCTACTCCAACCTCCCTCTTCGATCAGGGCATGGTGTAAAGGACGTTTCTCCCTCCCTCCCCCTTCTGGAAACGAGGCCCCCTAGTTGCGTCCAAAGGCCCCCCGTCGGGCTGGCGCGCGCCCGCGGCCGCGGGCGCGCGTGCGGTGCGGCAATGCAGCAGGGATACGTAGCCGCTTCGGCCGTGCGCAGCAGCAGGGGGTGAGGAGGAGGATGATGATGATGAGGAGGAGGAGGAGAAGAAAGAGGAGGAGGAGGAAGATGAGGGGGGGCAACCGCCGGGACCTCTTGTGCCCCAGGTCCCTTAGGTAGCACTGCCGCCCGTGACCAGGCGCCTCGTGGGGGAGGGAGGAAAAAGGAGGAGCACCCCCTCTTCTTCCTTCTCCTCCTCCTCCCCTCCTCCTCCATCGCCTCCTCCTCCCCCTCATCCTCCTCCCCGTATTTCTCCTCCTCTTCCTCCACCTCCTCCTGATTATCCTCCCCTGCTGTTCCTCCTCAGATTGGGCGCCGCTCACCCAGGGCGGCAGCCAGAAATCGCGACTTTAGGGGGCCATAGGTCGCGGGCCACAGAGCACCGGCCATCTGGTACCAGGGAGGGAACGAGACATCGAGATGGCTCGTTCCAGATTCCTCCCGAGCATGCACTCCTTGGGGAAAGCTTCGTCGATCCTCGACTCGAAAAACTTGCCCTGCTCCTTTTATTTGCCGATTTCCCCGCTGGTCGGCCGCGGGTCAAACCCTGCGGACGACGCCAAGACGAAATTGCCCTGCTCCTCCTCCTCCTCCTCCTCCTCCTCCTCCTCCTCCTCCTCCCTCCTGCTCCTCCTCCCTCCTGCTCCTCCTCCCTCCTGCTCCTCAAACCGTCCGCTCCTCCTCCCCCCTCTGCTCGTCCGCGCGCGGTCCACCCTGGCGCCCACCGCCGCCGAAAGCAGCGGCCCTATGGCGATGCCGATGGTGCAGATGACGGCCTCCCCGCACGAGGGCGAGGAGGATGAGGTTAGCACAAGGAAACAATTGTGTACGTGCTGTCCCGCCCAACCGCCCTTGCGCTCCCCCCATTCCTCTCCTCGCCCCCCCCGAAAGGGGGGAGGGCGAGGAGAGGAAGGGGGGGGAAGAGAGGTGAAGGAATCACCCGCCTTGTCGGCGGTCGGGCGTCCCGCCCTCCATCCGGAAGAGGGAGGGAGGGAGGGAGGGAGCAGCAGCAGCAAGCAGAGCAAAGAGAGGGCACGATTTTCTCTTGCTCGTGGGAACGCATGATGACAAACAAAGATATGTATATAACACAGCGCGGCTGCACGTTCCCGTGTCCCGCCCTCATCGGCACTCGCCCCGGGCGTGAAAATCGTCAGGGGATTCTGACACCCACGCCCGCCACATCGAATCTATCGATGGAACCGCACGATTCTGGCAATTAGCCAAGGCGGTGGGGAAAGCCACGGGCGGATGAACACTTATGCGGGACAGCGCGTCTGCCAGCCGGTTGAAGTCGGACGGCAGGCGGGCTACCTCGAAATGCCACTTGAGCGCGACTTTGCGCCAGGACAGCTCGCGCGCGAGTTCATGAGGCCCTTGCCTTTCAACGCCAAGGCGTCCGTCAAGGCGACAATTTTGAAACCCAGCACGAGCAAAATTGCCTCTGTGCTGCGAGCGCCCCAAATCATCAGCGACAGCAAAATCGTGAGGAATTCCCACGCCGACTGCCACTTGGGGTCGCCCAGCCGGGCGCCGAAACGTCGGCAGACACTTGCTGACCATTCCGTGCAGAAATATTCCTGGGGCTGGCCGGCCTCAACAGCACCGCCCCGCCTCCCCAGGGAGAGGCATCGAAGTGAACGGTTCGCCGCGACCGGGGCAGCCGCGCCGAAGCAGCCTGACTGTGCACCAGCCGCTCCAGCGGAAACAGATCCGCCGACAGGAGCGCCCGGAACCAGCCCGCAGCAGCAAAGAACCTGCGGACTGGCACCTTGCCCGGGGGTGCCTCCCTCTTGGACAGCGAAGATGCCCTCGTCGAGTCCGTGAGCGCCGCCCACAAGGAGGTTGCGAACGGCGACGCCTCCCGGACAATCTGCGCCACTCGCGCGGCCTTGCCGACCAGGGAACGGGCCTGGCGCACGCTGGCCACGCCTCTGCGCCGGCAGAAAGGCAAAAGAAAGTCCAACAACTCCTGGACGTAAAACCCCTGGAGGGCATGATGGAAATGTCCCCGCGCAGTTGGAAGCTGATACCAATCCAGGTGTACGCTGTGAGGGCGGGCGAGAATTTGCCCTTCTTCCAAGCCAGCGGTATGCCCAGAGCTAGCCACCAGCAGAGGAGGATATTGATCTCCCGGTGCGCAGACGCCGCGTCGCCCGCGACAGCCAGGATGGGGTCATCCACGTACTGCTGCAGCCGCGTGATGGAGCGGCGGAGCACAGCTTGCCCGGATCGGCACGCGAAGCTTGCGACTCGACCAAACACCAGCGGGTTCGCTCTCCCGCCGAAGCCGAGCACGCGACAGACCACAAAAGCGTGCCCCGAGCCCAGCGGGCGCGTCAGCTCTGCACAGTTGAATCCCCGCTCCGACTCCCGCAAGGGGATGCTCATGAACGCGTCGGCGAAATCGACGATGAAAGTGCGCACCCCGCGCTGGCCCTCCAGCGTGGATGCCAACTGAGCCAAGTCGACGGCGTGATCAAGACCACGCGGGGGGACGACCCTCTCCGACGTGGACGACGCATCGTTGACCCGATTGGACCGCAAATCCTGGATAATACGATGTTGGAGCGTGTCGCCAGGCCTTCGCTTGGCAACATTGCCCAAAGGAGCGGGAAACGTCTCGCCAAGCGCTGCTTCGGCGTCCTGGCGGTTGCGGAACGTCTCCCCGAAGCCTTTCTGGATGTACTCCTCCAGGATGGCCCTCGTCGGGGGCTGCGGCTCCCCGAAGCACTCGTCGAACGACGGGTGGTTGCCCTGGTAGGAGGCGCCGCGAGCTCCTCGACGGAGAGCTCCGCTGCCTTGGGTGCGAGTGGGAACAAGCCTCCTTGCTCGATCTTGCAAGTGATTCCCATCGGGGCACCGTGCTGCAACCACTCCCCAACGTGGCAATCCGGGTCGCGAGCCCGCTGCTGCGCGGCCTGGGCCAGGAGGTGCCTCCAGGGGGACGCCCGATGGCGCAGCTCCCCGGCGCCGGGAGGCAAGCACAGCGCCGCCGACACGCGCGCCCGCAGGCCGGCCACGGCGCGTGCGGAGGGCGCCGGGCGGCCGGGGGCTTCGCCGCAAGCCGCCGCCAGGTTAGCCAGCTCCGGGGCCTCTGCGCGCGCCTCAAGGATGGCGGCGCGCACTGGTACCATGGCCTCCACCAGTTCTGGCCATGCTTCCAGATGCCCTGCCTGGTTCCTGAAGCCAGCTCGGCAGCGTGCGTCCTCTCGCGTGCGTGCAGGGCGCGCGCTGTCCTCTGGCTCGCCGAGCCACGGGTGCCGCGGCACGGGGGCGTCGGCACGTGCCCTGGCCGCTACTGCCGCTGCTGCAATATCGGCCATGTCCGCCCCCGCCCGCGCTGCCTGCATGCGTCGCAGACGCTGGCGCACATGCTTCAGCTGCGCCAAGTGGAGCCTCACTCGGGTCGATAGGAGCAGCAGAGCGGCGGCGAGGCCCCCAGCGGGTTCGGCGACCTGCTCCGGGGCGTCGCCGGAAAACTGCGTGTCTGAATTCGTGGACGGCGCAGGGAGCTGGATCGGATCCTTCCTGCGCGCCTCATGCACGACCCCTGTGGCGGGTCACGGCTTCCACTTCTTGGGGCGCCCCTCCGCAGGGCGCACCTCGTCCACCGCGCGGCGCGGCCCCAGGCACCATTCGCACAGGTGCACGCGGGGCGGCTTCGACTTGCACGGCTCCCCGCACCCGCGGCTGGACCTGTCCCACGCGAAACACAACTCCTTCTCGTCGCTGTCGCGGAGGAAGCGGCCATCCTTGCGGCGGTCGAGCGCCGCGAGCCCCTTGGGCGCCTGGGCCCTGGCCTTCTTGGCCGGCCGGTCGTTGCCCTGGGCTGGCCTGCCGCCCGCCCCAGCCGAAGCGGCGCCCGAAGCAGCAGGCGGCGCTGCCAGTACCCGGAGCTCCGCGCGGGAAGGCGGCTTAGTCAGGCGCGGCTTGTCGACGTTCTCGTACCACCAGCCGGAGCGCTTGCTGTTTTCCCCGTAGGCCGCCTCGCGGACGACTGCTTCCCAGGGCCTCTCCGGATCGAACGGTTCCGAATACTTTCTGGCCTCCACCTTGGCCTCGATGTCCTGGCGGATCCTTTCCCAGCGCTCTGCCCTCATGGTATCATCTGCCCTGCGCACGACCACCCAGTGCTGGGGAAAAGTGTGTGCCAGCAAGCGGATACCCTCTTCGTAACCGTCCAGGGGGCCTGGCTGGCACGCTTTCAGCATGAGCAGGCACGCTTTCAGCATGAGCATTCCCGTGCGGAACACACGCCAGCACGCCCCCCACGTCTCAAAGGGCGGCGGCCCTGACAACTGGCGAGTGACCAACTCCCCGTTTACGAAGATCTGCGCCGTGAACTTCAGGACCTTTTTCTGCTGGCGCCCGAAAGGGCCCCAGAGGGCGAAATGTGTGCACGGCGCGTGGTCGTCAGCGACTCGTGCTGCGAGCGCCGAGACCTGCTCGGGGGTCACGTTCTCTGCCTCCCGGGGAGGGCCGCCATTCATGAGCTTGAAATCCTTGGCGATATTGCGGAGGGCCTGCTCTGAGAGCGTATCAAACTCCCCATCGCTGAGCTGATCGAGGAAGGCGTTGTATTTACGCTTCTTGTCTGGGTCCGCCGGCTGCTATGCTGCCGATGGCTCTGCTGGGGCCAGCTCGGCCCGGAGCTGGCCCAAGTCGGGCGGCGCCACCTTGCCGATCTCACAAATATGCAACAACAGGCGTGTGGCGGCCCCCTTGACGATTGCGCTCGCCGCAGCCCCCTCCACGGTCATGGAGTCCAGCGCGGCGCGAAGATCATCACAACGCACACTAAGGACCTCGTCAACGGTGAGGCTGTTGAAATCCCCTCCCAGAGCCTCCGAAATTGGGATGGCGTGCGTCTGCGCGACCGCCTTCACGAGCAGAGAGGGGCGGAGCATGGCAATCAGATGTCCTGTCAGGTCACCCCCTTTGTGCACGAGATCGGGCACCTGACAAATCAAGATCGCAACTTCGCTTGACCTCGAAATTGCAATTGCGATGCAAAGTAATAGACAAGATGAGATGAAAGAGACGGAGAGGAGCAGAGTGAGAGATGAAAATATGAACAGCACAAGATGGGAGGAAACTTAGGGAGCAGCATGGGCACATGTGATCAGGAATCCGCCGACCCTGTCGGCGTGTGCGAGGGGCTTGGCTGTTCGAGTCGTCGTCTCCGTCGGTCGTCGCCTCCGTCGCCCCATTTCCCTGCAGCTTCCTTCTCAAGCTCGTGAGCGAGAGAAAAATCTAGCAGTGTCGTAATCGAGTCGAAGGGAAGCCCCTTCCCTTCGATCCCTTCCCCAGGGGGGGGGGTCCGGGGGGGTCCCGGGGGGGGTCCCGGGCCGGGGGGTGTCCCGGGGGGGGTGGGGGGGCAGATTCGTTTTCCCTCGGGCGGCCTAGAAACCTCGAAAACACTCCAAATGAGGTCCGAATGCCCAAGATGGCCCCCGAGACGGCCCAAGAGGGCCCCGAGTCGCCCAAAGATCGGCCGAAAACGCCCACGATAGCCCCAAGACCGTCCAAGAAGCCTCCAAGACGTCCCAGGCCCCCTCCAAGAGACCCCCAGGAAGCCCCAAGAGGCCCCCACGAGGCTTCCAAGCGGCCCCTGAGAGCTTCCCAAGAGGCCCACAAACTACCCCCAAGAGGCCCCCAAGAGCGCTCGTCGTCGTCGTCGTCGTCGTCGTCGTCGCCATTCAGGGTCGGCGGCACCGGCCGTAAGGCCTGCGCAATATATGGGACAATCCGCGGCACGAGATAAGGACCGAAAGTCCCCCATATTGCCGCAAGCCGGTGGGATAAGACCGACACCGGCCCCCCAAGGCCTGGCCTGGGGATTAGACCGCGTGGACCCCCCGCCGCCAACGCACTGACAATTGTTACCTGCAACACTTCGTGTTTAATCCGGACGCGGCCAGGCGAGAGAGGACGAGGAGGATCCTGGGAGGAGGAGGAGCGGAGGAAGATGAGGATGAGGATGAGGACGAGGAGAAGGAGGAGGAGGAGGAGGAAGAGAAGGAGGAGAAGTAGGACGAGGAGGAGGATGCTGGGAGGCTAGGGGGAGGAAGGAGTGGCAGAAGGCTAGGAGGCCAGGATGTTGAGGGGGCGGCTAGAGGAGGACGAGGAACCACCATGACGACGCATGGTCCACCGAGCAAAGCACCGAGAATATGCGCACGCTGGGCAACGCAGGGCCGCGACCGCATCGGGCTGGTCAGCGATGCAACTGATACAAATAGAGCAGAAGAACGAGTGGCACAGAAGCGTCGCCCACGAGGAAGACGTTGACTTCGACGCGTCCGAATCCGTGACATCTGGCGCGGGGGCCAACAGGCCGCGCCCAGTCAGGCGGACGAAGAGGAGCGGCACGTGATCACACGTGATCGCTGCGCTCGCCGGGGCGGGCAGCCAGCAGCCGGTCCGCGCTGACGGGGTGCCATGGAGGCGGGCTGGAGCAGGTGGCACAGCCGAGATGACGACCGTCGACCGAACACGCGTGCTGGCGGACGCACTGCGCGCCGTGGCACTGGCGGCCGCGCGGCCTCGGCCCGGACCCAGGGCCAAGCGCAACGCCACGGGACGGTAACAGTGACAGTGGCAGTCCAGCCGAGAAGGCACCTACGCGGGTGCAGCGGGTGGGCGCCTGGGCGCCAGAGCAGTTTGCGCTGGCGCCGGGGCGCCGGTGCAGGATGGGCTGGGCAACGCCACGGGCTGACAGCCAGTCCTGGCAAGCGAGGGAGCCGTCGTTGTTCTGCGCACAGCCCAAGGCCTGCGGAAGCCTGATGCCTACACCGGTGGGGCCGCCGCATGGTGTGCGGGGTCCCCCCGCAGGCCGAGCGGGGCCTCACCAGCCTGTGCTCCTTTCTGCGCGGAGGCCCTATCTGAAGGGGCCCAGGGGCACATGCAGAAATTCGCCGGCCCAACGGGCCAGGGCGTGCTAAGATCTCCGGTAACTGGTTAACAGTATTAACAGTATTTCTAGTTCGCGCGCGCGGGGCGGCCCCTGGGGGTCCCCCGGCGAAAAGTACCCCGACCAACGCCCGACCAAGTCTACTCAGAGATGGTTTTCCTTCTGGGTGCGGCCTCTGAGGCTCCCCAGAGCGCGCTCAGAGTGCCCCAAGAGGCCCCCAAGACTGCCCAAGAGGCCCCCGAGACGCCCAAAGAGCGCTCGAAGACGCCGAAGATGACCCCAAGACGGCCCAAAAGGCCCCCAAGACAGCCCAAGAGGCCTCCAAGACGCCCCAAGAGCCTTCCAAGAGGCCTCCGAAGAGAGCCCCAAGAGGCCAAAATCGTTGATTTTCATTGTTTTTTTCTATGTTTTTTGTGTTCTGGCTTTTTCGGCTTCCGGACGCTCCAAGACGGCCCAAGAGGCCCCCAAGACCGCTCCAAGACGGCCCACGAAGCTCCCAAGACGGCGCCGAAACGACCCAAGAGAGCCCTCAAGACGGCCCAAGTGCCGCCCAAGACGGACCAAGAGGCCCCAAGACGGGCCCAAGAGGGACTCAGGAGGGATACCGAGAACTCAAAAATGGAGCCCTCCGTCCCAGAAGGCGCCCAGGAGGTCCCAAAGAGGCCCCAAGAGGCCTCCAAGAGGCCCCAAGATGTCGCCAAGAGGCCCCAGGAGACTCCCAGGAGGCCCAAAAGAAGCCCCAGAAGGCTTCAAACATGTCTCCCAGGCGCCCCCGAACGGCCTCTCAACAGACCCCAAGAGGCCCCCCAAAGAAGCATCTTGACGACGACTCTATTTCGCCCCATCGAGAGACGACCCCCAGGGAACTGCTTCACCATCAAAACTCCCCACGCAACGCGTCCGAACGACACCCGCCCCCAAGAGCGCAACATGGGCAACGAACACACAGACAAAAACCAGCGATGCCATATCACGGGCCGGCGGAATGAGCGAAGCGATTCAATAATCACCTCCGGGATTCCCTATATTTTCCAGATTTTCTGGATGCTCGTCTTCCCCTCAGCTTCCCGCGCTTTCCTTATTTTCCTGGGCTCCGACGATTACTTGGTGTCTGTGCTGCTTCCCTCCTGACTATCCTTGAATACTGGAGAGCGCACTGGCAGGTGTATTCAGGAAGAACCGGCCAACCGACGAGCGGATGGTCAGAGCCAGGAGGCTCGGGCCGCGCGTAGAGTGCAGTCAGAGCCCTGTCGCCGGTGGGAAATGTCGTCTCCCTCTCGCTGGGCCTATGTCACAGTCGCGAAGGCTGGTTGGTGATGGCAATCGTGATGACCATTACTGCCTGGACAGCTTCGTCCACAGCGATAGCCATAGCCTCGGCAGTGAAGGAAGAAAGCGGCTCTCGAAGAGAAGTGCCTCCTGTTATTTTCGGGGTGGACTGTGTAAAGGTCTCTTTCCCAACGACGGCTTCGATGCACCATGCTGCCGCCGAGCATGGCTCAGCTCGCGTGCCACCGCCAAATGCCAGCAAAACGAATTGCGAGCCGCCTTGGCCTGCACCCGTCCCTCGCTGTGACCGCGTCAGCGGGCCCTCGGGTAGATCGTAGCTAGAGAGCCCACGGTCGTCAGTCGGGCCTGGCCTACTTGCGCGAGACGCGAGAAGCAGAACGCTTGTCGGGTCGCTGTGCGCTGACCCCGCCCATACCGTTCTCTTCCGCAGGGTGAGTACCAAGCGGGACGCAACACGACGCGGGAGGATCGGGACGGACCTCCAACAATCCTGCCGCTGCTGCTCTTCCATCCTCCTCTTTCTCCCCAACACTCCTGTGTTGTTGTGTTAAAGTTTGAATCCGCAACCAAGCGCGTCTCCTCATATCCTCCTCCTCGCACGTCATCTTCCTTCCCCTCCTGCCCGTCCCATTTTACACACACACACACACACACACACCCCTCATTCGGATCGTGCTCAAGAGTGAGCTCCACCTACGGCCCCAGACACCCCTCACGTGGATCGTGCCCCTATGGCAGCCCTAGCGAACTTTCGCATGGCGTCGCCACGAACTTGTTGGCATATCCCTCACGCGTATCGGTCCCCACAAGGAGCACCGCCTACGGACCCAGCGAAGGCGCTCGCTTGGCGTCGGCCCGCCCATTACGGCACATCACACGGATCGTGCCCAGTAGGGAACTTGACCAAAGGCCCCAACGAGGGCGGTCGCATGGCGTCGCCCCGCGCATTATGGCACAACCCTCACGCGGATCGTGTCCCATGCCCCCCGCGAGGAAGTTCGCATGCTGTCGCCCTGCCCATTTCGGCACACCCCTCGCGCGGATCACGCCCACACAGAGGAGCTCCACCTGCAGCACCAATGGGATCGCTCGCATGTGGGACCCCGTCCAATCCGGCACACCCCCGACGTGGAGCTTCACCTTTGGCCCCAGTGGAAATCCTTGCGTGCGGTCCCTAACCCGTTTTGGAGCACCTCGAACGCGGATCGTTCCCCAGACTTGGAGAGTGGAACGCGTTTCTGCGCGCTTGCTCGGGAGCCCCCCTGTCCGCACTCTCCCGGCCTCAATCCCACCCGCGGCGCGACGTAAACATATGAAAAGAAAGGCACGCCCTGCGCGACTCGCAACTGCATCGGGCTGGGCCCGTCGCCGTGTCCTGTGCTGTCCTCCTCCTCCGCCTCCCCAAGCACTGGGACCTTGGGTACCGTCAACGTCCTCGCCCCGACCGTTCGTTATGATAAACGACGGAGGCGCATGCTCTGGCTCGTCGCATCTCGTACTCTCTCCTGCATGGCCGCATTGCTTCCCTCTCTCTCTCTCACCACTTCTGGCGCAACAATTACGCAGCTCCATTACGAGCGCTCTGGGGCTGGACCAGTTCGCTGTGCTCGGCTTGAGGGCCTACCTACCATCTCGCAGGTCAACGCCAGGGAGGAAAAGGAGTACTGCCTGAACTGCGTGGTCTATCCGTTTCATTGTACATGTTGGCATTACTTCGAAGGAACTGCTGAACAGGATCTTGACTTCGGCCGTCACTACATCGATGTTTCTTCATCGACGGTTGCACCGCCTCCAGCTGTCTGAGAGGGAGCGGAGTCTGTTCTGCTCAAGGTGGATAAGGGCTTTCGTCGTATCCCGCACCCGCCGTTGCCCACCACGGCTACGCACCTGGCAGCTGGAACTGGCCAAGCTGCAGCGCGAACGGCGTTGCCGCCGCAGAGGGGAGGCGTTCGATTCAGGGATGACAGAGCCCCATGAGCGCGATGTGCAAGCTGGGACCCCCGACCAAGTTGCATTGTCTCTGCACGGTCGGCAGTCGGCAATACCGCCGATGACAATCCCGAGGAAGAGATCCTCGAAGGGAAAGTCAACAGAGACCGCGATGGCGTCGAGCAGGCCAGGAGCTTGGGGCAGCGACACTCCACGAGGGTGAAAGACCCAAATCGGTTCGAGAACGGGAAAACGTCTGGCGGTCCAAGTCGCCGCGTGGCATGGGTCGCAGCGGATGTGTAGGGGCTGATCCCTAGCCTCTCGCCTCACGCGGCTACCGACACCTTCGACAACCAATTTGGTGACGAAGATCTTCGCTCCCAAATCGCCTGGAGATCGGCCAGCCGCACTCAAGCATGGCGCACTGGGCATCGCGGAGGCCCACGAGGGCTGCATACGCGGCGTCGAGCCCTGCGCGCTGCTTCAGGAAGTGAGGACGGTGGCGTCTTCACCTGTTTGAAGCACATGTTCGCTGGTGTCGTCAAGCTCGGGGACCGCGATGTGGATGGGGGGGCGAATAGTTGTTCCTTTCATCTCCCGATCGGTACTGGTGAGACGGCTGTATCTCCATCCCCTTGTAAGGTTAATCTCCTTGGTCACATAGTTTGGCTGATATCTCCAGTTCTGGGAGTGCGACCGCTGTGAACGCTCTCCCTTACGAGATGGTTCGGATGACACTCAAACGTGGGAATCACCTACTCCCTTGACATGAACGGTTCGGATGGCATTCTATCGTGGGAATCAACCGCTTGGGTCGCAACGACCACTAATAGTCTCCAGTGCAGTCAAGCAGCCCCCATCCCCACGGGGGGGGGAGCAAAAGAGAAGATGGGAGGGAGGAGGAACGAACTCTAGACGCCGCCCGGTGCCTGCATTGGAAGAGTTTCACCACCTGTTAAGTTCACCTCTTGCAGTTGGCAAGGGTGGCAAACATCGCAGTGTTACAAACCTCGGACGTCCGCAGACGGCAGTTTCCCGCTGGCTCTGGCAGACTCCTTCCCCACATCTCCCCACGGCGCGCAGAGGCGCCACCCAGAATACGGGGAAGGTGTCTGTGGCCTGTGGAAAGGTGTCGTCCGCGGACGTCCGAAGCATCTGCTTATGTGCTTGTCTGGCCTCCGAGTCTGTATCTCCGCTCAAGCAAACGGCATGCCTTGGTAACGAATATGCCGGAGCGCTCCCCCTGCGGGATGCTGTCCGCGAAAATGGCCTCCGTAGCGCTGCTGGACATTTCGCTGAACACACCTCGCCCCTCTCGCCCGTCCTGCGCGTTGCTCCCTCTGCCCCTGTTGCTGCTCCCGCTGATGTTGCTCGTCCTCGTCCTCCCACTCCTCCTGTCCTTCCTATTTCTCCTGCCCTTGCGCATCCTCATCCTGCTCTCTTTCCTCTCCCTTTGTCTCCTTTTGTCTCTTTCCCTCTCTGTCGCTGGCTCTCACTTTCTCTCTCTCTCTCTCTCTTTGTCTGTCGCTCTCACGTGTCGATCCTCCATCTCTCTGGTGTAACTACCATCCCGCTCTATCAGGCACATACACCATTTGCCTCCGACGTTCTGATGATGGGAACCGACGGGTAAATGACAGGCGGGGCTCGAACAGGCCGCACTCACAACCTCATGTAGTAATGCGACCAAAACGCGGACCGATCAAAATTCAAGGATCGGCGCGAAAGTGCTGGATGATGCAAGTTGGCGAAGGATTCACCTATACCTGTACCCGTCTCGCCTTGGCACAAACTTGCAAGAAATCTACTGGACTCTTCGCAGAAGCCTCCAGCCGCGGAAATGCAATGCCATCAACGCGCCCATCATCACCCCGCTACTGCGGGCTGCAGTGGCGCCCCCAGGAAATCACGGATGCGAGCGATGTCGGAAACTTGCCAGAGAATGCGATAATAAGTACGGCCAATATTGGGTATAGACGTTTTGCGAAGCATGCACACAAACATCTATACATATACTTGTTTTGTTTTGGTTTCCACAACAGGGCGGGACATCTGCGACCACCTACGTCCAATAGAGGAAAAAACAATCAACTCAAAAGGCTTGCGACGCGCACTCTTTCACAACGCCGTCGGCCACGCGATACGCGGCTCCCTCTGACGCAGACTTCAACACAACAAGGGTATGGGTATAGACGGAAGGTTCATGGCCAGCCAGAGGGAAGCGGCAACTGGACCACATGACACCAACCAAAACAGCGGGGCGACCAGGATAGGCGGTGGGAAGCACTGGCGAGGAGGCGGAAGCTGCCGAGCAGCGACCGAGCCTGGCCCGTGTGGCCACACACGCTTGGGTGGTCGCGAGCTCGTGCACAGCGACGACGCGCTGAAAATGTAAGTGGCACACACACACACACACACACACACACACACACACACACACACACACACACACGCACACACGCGCACGCGCACGCGCACGCGCGCGCACGCACGCACGCACGCACGCGCGTACGCAGTCACACACACACACACGCATCCACACACGCACACATACACACACACAAACACACACGCACCATACCGCACCCTACCGCACCTTACCTTACCTTACCTTACCTTACCGTACCTTACCTTGCCTGACCTGACCTGACCTGACCTTACCTTACCACGCGGCGCGGCACGGCACGGCATCGCATCGCACGGCACGCACGCACGCCTCCCTCCCCCCCACACACACAAACACGTAGACGCACGTACACACACGCACACAGACACGCACACACACACACACACACACACATACACGTAGACACACACACACACGCCACACACACACACACTTTGCGCCGGCGGCTGGGCACAGGGCGACTGCTCCGGCAGATGGGCAACAGGGGGCACGCTGTAAGTACGCAAATAAGGCCGCCATGCGCGGAAGAGGATAAGGAGGAGCCCCTGCGCGACAAGGAGACGAGGAGGCCGGGCCCACTCAGAGACACCGACTGCGGCAGGAGGAGCGCCGAGGGGGGGAACCACCGCCAGCACTGAGCTGCACTGGGTTGCACTGAGCTGAAGCTGGGGGAAACGTAGCCCAGCAGACTTGGCGACAGGTGGGGGAGCAACACAAGCGAACCAAAGACGACTCGACCCAGCGAGCCGATGGGCGCGGTCCGGGGGCAGAGCCAAAGCGACGAGACCCAGGGGCGTACGGGGCGCGGAAAATCTCGGGGCGGGAGAGCGCCGAGACCAGGGAGGTCTACGAGGCGCAGGGCGCGGAGGCAGGCGGCAGCGACCTGGCGAAGCACATGCGGGCCAGGGGCGGGAAGAAGCAGGAGGGGCCGCGCCAGATACGGGAGCGGCGGGCCCGGGGGAGCGGGCAGGGCGAGCGCCGAGACCAAAAGGCCAAGCGGCGCAGGCGAACGGCGGGGCAAGGTGCTGCGAGGCGGCAGCGGCCAGAGCACCAGTAGCTGGTGTCTGGATGGGTGGCTTAAAACCAAGCAGAAAGGCAAGACGCTTCCAGTGCTGCGAGCGTCGCCCGGCCGGCGCAGGCGCGGCGAGGGCTCACAGGGTGCCAGCGCCCGCGCAAAACCTGCGGAAGGCCGGCGACCCCTGGGCCGGAGCAGGGGGCTGGAGCGGAGGGGCACGGCACCCCTAAGGAGGGCAGTCGAGGGGAATGCCCAAAAACCGCGAGCAGGCGGCAAGACCAGCCAACTGCGATAGGGCCCACCCAGGCGCGGGGCGACAAAGGCGGCAGCCGAGCGACCAAGGGCCGCCCAGGGCGCCGGCGGGGAGCCCCCGCAGAGGGCGTTGGGGAAAAAAACCCAGTGCGCAGTGAGGCACCACGGGGCCTGGGCCGCGGAACAGACCGACGGCGGCGGGAGGAAGGAGGCCCCGAGCGGGATCTGGAAGCCTGTGGGAGGGAGGGGGGCACTGATTAGGAGCATGGATGCAAGCGAGCCACGGTGGCCGGGGGGGGGAAGGGCAGCGACCAGGCTGGCCACTGCCCGGAGCCTGGGGGCGCCAAACTCAGAACAGGTCGAGGTGGCGGCCGCGCGCGCATGTCGAACTCCTTCAACGCGAAGACATCATCATCGTTATCGGTAAGCGTGGTCAACATTGGCACCGTCATTGGCCTTATCGCCGCTACTCTCATAATCGGGTCTACCGTTGTCGGCGTCCCCATGATACCGCGCCCGCCCAAGCCACCGACTCGCACTGAAGTGCCCGCTGGGAAGTGCCCAGCGGTCAGCGCCAACGCGGCCGCGTCAATCGCGCCAAACTACAGTTGGCCGCTGTGCGCGCGAGCGTTCAGGGGCTAACGCGGCCGCAGAGATGCACCAGCCAACGCCGCGCGCTCATGGCAATCGCCGCCGCATGGGTTTTGCAAACCAAGTTGCGGGTGGGTGGGTGGGATGTGTGCAAGAGCATGTAGTTGGTCAACTCGTTTGTAAAAAAAAAAAAAAAAAAAAAAACATACCGTATCACCGCATACATTGCATCACACAACTTGCACATCACACCTCGCTCCACACACGCACACATTGCACGGCATACGCTGCAACACTTACACAGCCGCACGTATCTTATCAACCCTGTATTGCACCACCTAACTTACAAAACGTAGTTCATACCTCGTATAAATACTGTCCCATATATGTTGCGCCATACAGCTTATACCTCAGAGCTTACACCACAAAGGTCACACTCAATAGTTTACATAGCCACAGGGTAAGATCTCATTTTTAGGGGTCCACGTGGGCAACCATGTAAATATTGTCAGCCTCTCTGCCTGACTGGCTCTGTGACTCTTTGACTCTCTGATCTCCCAACCTCTTTGCCTCTCAATGTCCGCCTCGGTATCTCTAGTCGCTTGCCTGTATGACTCTGAAATCATTGCATCTCTGCCGTTCCATCTGTGAGTCTCGCTCGCACCGAAAAGCTATGTTAATCACTCAGCTCCTGCGAAGGACGCCTGAGAGAAGGCCGCTGCGCTGCCCCATGTGTTCTTCCTTTGCTCTACTGCTGTGGCTCCTCCTCCTCCTTTTTCCTGACCCTTTCTGCCCTCTCTTCCCCTTTTCTCATTCTCGTCGTAATTATTGTCCTCCCCGTTCGCACTCCCAAGTGAATACTGAGGATGCGTCGCGTCCGGTAGACCAGCTCACGCATACATGTTGGCCAAGACCCTAGGGACAGGCAATAACTAAACCACAGGTCGGCCGGAGGATGTGAGTGAGCACATGTATGAAGCAACGAAGGCTGCTGAATTCCATCAGGGTTGGGCCCGATGGAGCAGGGAGAACAATTGGGGGATTATGGTGAGGAGGGGGGAGGGGGAGGAACATTAGCAGGGAGCGACGGGTGGGCGGAGGGCGAGGAAGGATGGAAGGGGGGTAGGGGGGCAGGACGGTGGAGACTTGGGCGGATTTTCGGGATTGCGAATCTGAGTCGGCCACTGGCTGGTCAGGAAAGGATGGCACGCAGATGGGTGGCATTGCGATAGGTTCCTCGGCCGAGAAGCAGTACAACCAGCGTGGTCACCAAATACATGTGCTCTTCGCAACCGCAGGACGGAGGAAGCTGGTGGCGGTCCCCCGCACCGAGGAGCATCAACGCCGCGTAGAGAAGCAACAGCACGTCCGTCACCGCGGCGACGACGAGCGCCACGACCGACGCCGCGCCAAAGACGCAGGAGAAGCGCAGCACCCGCGCCCGCCTGTCTGGGTACCTCGCGGACCGCACGGGACTCGCTCTGCCCGGAGCGTCGCTTCGCAGCACTTTTGCCGCGGGCGCACCCCTCACGGGCAGGCGGGTGGGGCCGTCTCGAGGGGGGCCTCCTGGGAACCTCTGGAGGGCCCTCTTGGGGTCCTCTTGGGGTCCTCCCGGGCACCTCTGGAGGGGTCTTCTTGGGGTCCTCTTAGGGGTCCTCTTGGGGTCCTCTTGGGGGCCTCGTGCGGGCCTCTTGGGGGCCTCGTGCGGGCCTCCTGGGCGCCTCTGGAGGGCCCTCTCAGGGGCACCCTTGGGAGCCTCGGGGGCCGTGCGGGGAGGGGCGGCGGCGGAGGGCGGGGGGGGGGCCTCCTCCTCCTCCTCCTCCTCATCCTCCTCCTCCTCCTCCTCCTCCGTCCTCCTCCTCCGCGGTCCTCCTCCTCCTCCTCCTCCTCTTCCTCCTCCTCCTCCTCCTCCTCCTCCTCCTCCTCCTCCGCCTTCCTCCCCCTCCTGCTCCTCTACGTAGGAGTGCAGGGGCGGCACGGCACGGGAGCGGGGTCAGGGGGCGGGCGAGGCGCCAGGAGGGGGGGAGGGGGGAGTTTTGGGGGCGGGGCGCGGGAGGCGGAGGGGGGAGGCGGAAAGGGCAAATTGGTGGCGAGGGAGAAGGAGGCAGTGGGAGCAGGAGTACAAGGAGGACGAGGAGGAGGAGCAGGAGGAGGAGGAGGATGAGGAAGAAGACAAGGAGGATGAGGAAGAGGAGGAGGAGAAAGAAGGCGGACAAATGAGATGGAGGGGTGACGGGAAGAGGGTGAGAGAGGAGCGAGGAGGTGGAGGAAGAAGAAGAAGAAGAGGACAAGAAGGAACGCAAGGAAGAGAGAAGAGGAGGAGGAGGAAGAAGAGGAAGACGGGGAAGACCAGGAACAGGCAAGGAGGAGAACCGACGCCCAGGATTGAGGTGGAAAAAAAAGAGGAGGAAGAAGAGGACGAGGAAGAGGAGCAAGGGGCAGGGAACGCGGGGAGGAGGACGCAAAGGGGGGTCAGTGGGAGGGGTGGAGGAGGGAGGAAGAGGAAGAGGATGAGGAGGTAGACGCGGAGAAGGATCAGGAGGACCGTCAGAGTCAACGCCTACGCCCCCGAGGATGTGCGGGCGGACCTGGGAGAGAGACGACGCCTTGACAGGGCGGCAACGAGGACGACGACGAAAAAGACGAGGGAATTGGATGAACAACGCACCTCTCGGCCTGTACCAGCGCCGCGGCCCGTCAACCGATACTATAGGCTCGCCCGTCTGCAAGATCTCGAGGCCGCGCGGGCTAGACTGCCCGCGCGGCCAAAGACCAAGAGAGATGCCACTCTAAAGAGCTCGAAGTCAACGGAAATCTTTGGAACAGGGCAGGCCGCCGTCTCCACAACAGGAAGAGCGTATGCGGGCCCGCCTTGCCCTCTCCTGGGCCGACCTGCCAGGAGAAGGGTTTGTGCCTCGGCCGCCCCACGCTCGTGCAGGAGGTCGCGCAGGGCCACAAGATTGGTGACGTGTTCGTCGTCGATCACAACCTTCGCGAGGGTGGCCCCCGCCTATGCGGCCCTGCCGTCCACCTGGTCGTTCCCGTCTGAGCCGCACTTGCCGTGCGACTCGATCTTACAGGAACCGCTACCATCGCGGACGCCGTCTCGCCGCAAACTCTCTACCTCCACACACTTCGGGTCGCGCGTCTCGGCCGAGTCACTCGTCAAATAGAAAAAGAAACAACGCCATAAACATACACTTTTGGCGCTCCATGCGGATTTCTTGGATCTGTGCTGTAACCCCCTCCCTTGCGGGCGGAGCGCGCCAGGGGCGTCGCCGGAGGCGCCGCCGGGGGGGCCCAGCGCGGATCGAAGAAATCCGCGCGGAGCGCCAACAATTTTGCAGCGATTTTCTCTTCTTCGATCAGAGCTACAATCCTCGCCGCTGGCGCTTGCCGCGCCAACGCCGCTCTGCAAGGCGGGCACGCAACCTCCACGCCGGGCTGGCCCGGGCTGTGCCTGCGCACGTGCCCGCGCCCCAGGCGCGAACACACCCGGAAGCCCCGGGCTCGCTCGGCGACGCGCAAGGAGGTGACCCCGGGCACGAGTGGCCTTTGGTGGGCTTGTTTTTTCCACCTCCACCACCACAGGTAGGAGGGGGAGGGGGTCCTCCTCCTCCTCCTCTTCCTCCTCCTCCTCCTCTCCTTCCTCCTCTTCTTCCTCCACCTTCCCCCCTCCAACTTATGGTGATGGTTCAATGGTGGTGGTGGAAACCAGGCCCAGCAGCCTTTGGTGCGCGGCCTTCGAGGGCCGCGGGGGAGGCCCCCGAGTGCGCGCCATCCCATCGCGACGGCCAGTGCTGGCGGGACCCCGGCTGGCCCGCACCGCAGGCCACTCCGGCGAAGGGCCCCTCTCACGCGCAGCCGCTTCGCCTCCCGGGGGCGACGCCCGGCCGGCCTCCCTCTCGTGGGCGGCCTGCCTGGCCGCCGCGGGCGCCGAGCACCGACTCCGACTGCGCCCGGGCCCGCCTGCGCGCCCGCCTTCGGCTCCGGGCCGCCGCCCCGCGCCACCTCGGCCGCCAGGAGAGCCGTGGCCTGCCGGGCGAGCTGCGGGCCGCGCGGCCAGACGCCCGCCGACGCCGCGCCGAGGGCAGCCCGGGCCACGCCGCCCCGAAGCCGCGTCGCGCTGCCGCCGCCACGGGCCGCTGCCCAGACGGGGGCAGGGCAGCGGGGCGCCCGTCCAGACTGCCGCGAGCCTGCGCGCCGAAGCCCGTCCCGACGAGGCGGCAGGAGGGAGGGAAGAGGAAGGGAGGAGGGAGGGCGGGGGGAAGGGGGGCGAGGGAGGCAGAGGAGCAGGGAGGGCAGAGCAGGATGAGGGAGGGGAGGGGGGAAGGAAGAGGGAGGGACAGCAGGAGTGGAAGAGGAGGGCGGAGGGAGAAGTCAGGATGGAGGTCAGATGAGGTAGGAGGACGAGGAGGTAAGTAAGAGGAGGTACCGTATAACCAAAGAGAGCGAGATACAAGGGGGATCAGGGAAGGAGATAATGGATGGAAGGAGGGGGAGGTCGGCAAAGCATATCAAAGAGGCTGCCACCATTAGCCCTTATGTGCTACCATGACCTACTACTACCCCACACTCTGGACTCCTCCTCCATCCGTTCCCTCATCTCTGCTCCTGCTCTCGCCCCTTCTCCTGTCTCCAGGTCCACACTCGTTCTCCTTCCTCCAACTTCCTATCCTCCCCAATCTCCCCCCCGCTGCTCCTCATCCTCCTCCTCCTCCTACTGCTCCTGCTCCTTCTGCTCCTGCTCCTCCTGCTCCTCCTGCTCTTCCTGCTCCTCCTCCTCCTCCTCCTCCTCCTCCTCCTGTTCCTCCTTCTCCTCCTCCTCCTCCTCCTGCTCTTCCTCCTCCTTCTCCATCCCCTCCACCTTCACCTCTTCCTCCTGCTCTTCCTTCCTCCTCCCGCGTGTCCTCCCGCTCCTGCTTCTCCTGCTTCTCCTGCTTCGACAGTTTCGCATGCTTCTCCTCCTCCTTCTCCTCATCCTCGTCCTCCTCCTCGCCCTCCTCCTCCTCCTCCTCCTCCTCCTCCTCCTCCTCCTCCTCCTCCTCCTCCTCCTCCTCCTCCTCTGCCTGCCCGCAGCAGAGCGCCTCGGCGCTCGGGCGGGGGTCGGGCTTCCTGGGGAAGCTCACTTCTGCCAAGCCGTGGCCTCAGGAATGGCACTCCCCGGATTGGGGGTCGCAAGGCAATGCAAAACCACACCCTGAGGACCGAATTGCACCACCCACGGCACACTGTGGGCGACGCCCCGGCTGTGCCCGACCAAGTTTTTGAAAGGTCTGGGGCCGAGGTTGCTCCAACCTGCAGGGCAAGCGGGGGAGGCTTCGGAGGTCGGGACACCTGCCTTCGGGCATGCGGGGGTTGGTGCTGGCCCCGCTGAGTCCCGCACCGCGTCCCCACGCGGTTTCCGAAGGAGTCCCAGTCCGCGACCTCAGACAGGCGAGAAGTATGGGGCGGGGCCAGAAGCACCTGGTTCACTGATCGTGGTGCCATGAGTGCGTCGGGTGTGGATGACAGAAAGAAATAGTGGATTGATATGCTTGTTGGTCGGCCTGTCACTACTTTATTAATCTTTTTCAGTTCCTCATTGAAAAAGCCTTACGGTGCTGTTGCTGACTATGCTCGCATGGTACCTGAATCCAACGCCGCCCCACTGGGTTTGGTAGTGGCTGGCGCGATGGCATCTTCTCGCAACGTTGGAATGTGCGTGTGCCCGTTGGCACTTGGCAGGGCGCTGTAGGCAATAGCATGGGAATTCGCAAGGCAGTCCCAGTACTCCTCCTGCTCCTGCTCCTCCTGCTCCTCGTGTTCCTCCTTCTCCTCCTCCCGTTCCTCCTCCTCCTCCTCCTCCTCCTCCTCTTTCTCCTCTTCCTCCTCCAACTGCTCCTCCTCCGCATCCCCCTCCTCCTTCTCCTCCTCCTCCTCCTCCTTCGCCTCCTCTACTTCCTCCTCCTTCTCCTGCTCCTCCTCCTGCTCCCCTTCCTCCTCCTCCTCCTCCTCCTCCTCCTCCTCCTCCTCCTCCTCCTCCTCCTCCTCCTCCTCCTCCTCCTCCTCCTCCTCCTCCTCCTCCTCCCCTCCTCCTCCTCCTCCTCCCTCCTCCTCCCCTCCCCCTCCCCCTCCCCTCCCCCTCCCCCTCCCCCTCCCCCTCCCCCTCCCCTCCCCCTCCCCCTCCCCCTCCCCCTCCCCCTCCCCCTCCCCCTCCCCCTCCCCCTCCCCTCCCCCTCCTCCTCCTCCTCCTCCTCCTCCTCCTCCTCCTCCTCCTCCTCCTCCCCTCCTCCTCCTCCTCCTCCTCCTCCTCCTCCTCCTCCCTCAAGCCATATGGGCACGAGCACCAAGACCTCCGCCCCCGAGCGAAGGCAAGTGCTGGCGCCCGCCCAGACCCTCCACGCGGGGCTTGAGGGATTGCGAGATCTGTTTGACCCCCACACTCAGTTCTCGCCCACGAAAGCTGGGCATTCAT